CTCAGCATTATATCAGCATGTACACTTTTTAGGTCAAGTTATTTTTGTTTTGAAAGTACTTTTTATAAGACAATAAGCGAATCAGGGTCACGTAGTGGTACATTCGCTTCTCACCTAATTCGCTTCTCAGTTAATTTTTTTAAATGGTGATGTAAAGTATAAAATTCTCATTCTGGGAAATAAAAAAAAAATTGAAACCTTGAAACCTCTGGGGTCTCTGGTTCGATTTTATTAGATTTCTTCATTGTTTCGAGGCTTTTTATCCGGGTGTGTGTCTAGGAGGCATAGTGAGTTTATTTGTCATCATTTGTAAATTTAAAAACTGATTATAGTGAGAAAGGAAATTTGTACTGTCACCGCGTTCCGCGATCCTTGGACACAGGAAGCCCAATTGTAATGCGCTTTAGTAACTGCTTCGTTTTCAAATCACTTTCGGTCCAGTCGCGTAGGCTTGAGGCGGTCGACGACAACGTTTTTTGAATTGACTATATTCATTGAAGTGTTACTATTTTAAAATGTATTGGTTAATGCATTATGAATATATAATTTTATATGACAAACAATGTCTCGGCTACGTCTTCCTATTGTTCATGGCACTTAACTGTCTGGAAATCACGCTACTAGCTTTTGCTTTTTGTCAYAGATTATACACCTATTTGCAGGAACGTAAAAAAAAGCTGGTGTAATTGTTTCACTAGTTGATGAACTGACATTTTTGATATTACCTTTACTTGTCAACTATACTAAAACAATTTTTTTCATTAATCTAAGAGACCGTTAGCCTGCCGCGCAGACGTTTTTAGTGTCGGCTCGGAAAGAACGAGCCGACACTAAAAACGTCTGCGCGTCAGGCTAAGAGACCTTAAAATCAAAATTCTAAAAATATTTCTAAACAAGGGCCGGGTCGCACTAGCAGATTGTTTATGTTTTGCCAAGAATAAAGTTTGTCTAGTTGTGTTTGACAAAATTTTCGTTTGTACCTGAGGGTCGCACTGACTTGACAATATGTCGACTTGTGATACCAAAATAAATGTGTTTGGCACCCTGTAGCTCCCGCTCAAGTGCCGATCAGTACTGGGGGTGGGGGGTTGTGTTCCGATGGGATTCTGAAAGGGGTACCCTGTTTATGATAAAAAAACTCAAATTTGTTGACCCTGTTTATGACAAAAGATATAATTTATTGCACTGAGTTCCTGTTTCAATTATCATGTCATCTCGCCTATCGTTAATTTTTTTACGACCATAATAACCAGTTTCGGTCAATAGGAAAGTAGAAACCCTGAATATGACAGGAAACTCAGGAAGAACTTGGAAATTGAGTGAAACTGCATACTCTTTTTATGATAAGGAGCTCGAAAAACCATACCCTGTTCAGAGGATCATCCCCGTATAGTCCATATATGGGAGTACCACCCCCCCCCGATCAGTAACGGATCGAACTCATATAATTGCTTTCGTTGTGGTCTTCTATACTCTTTTAGTCCTCCAGTTTCACTTCAATCGTGCATTTATATTTATATGTCTGAACACGAGAATACAAAATTTAAACCTACAATTGAATTTATTATTGAATTGAACGAGGGATCATTATGCATGCTTGATCCCGCTCTTTCGATTTTTTTAAGCAAACATAGAACATCGGCAAATATATTCGGAAATGACAAAATTATTTTATGATTTATTAGTTTGATATACACAGTCGATATGAAACATGTTTTAAAAGCCTCAATGCTTTCTGTCATATCAACAGTTGATTCATTATATTCCACGAGATGCTTTATTAATGCCCTTCAGCAGCAGGTAGGGGGACTCGCAAAATCCGAATCACCAAGCATCGAATTTCACGAGTATTACCCGCGTTTCAGGCCCCTGTAAATGTATGCGTCGGCAGCGGGTATTACCCACGCGATGATTCCCTTACTGCTGCTGTGTTTGCGAAATTTATGTGTCTGTTAAAATGTACCTTTAATTGAGCATAAAATGCCCTTAAATATATAATGAGTGGTAAGCTCGTTTGTCCAAAATGTAATAAAGGTTACACAAAAGGTGGCTTAATTACCCATTTGCGTAGGAAAGTCCCATGTGATATGAAAGTAACGTGTATAATGACGCATGAGTTTTCTAATGACAACGAGGAATATATAAGGAAACTGCAAGGGAAGCTCGATGGAATAGTTCCTAAATTCGTTTTAAGTTGCTCCTGCGGGAGGGAATTTAAGAGGGAACAGCATTTAAAATCCCATCAAATATCTTGTAGGGTCGCAAACGAAGGTT